TACAGTGTTGTGCCACCAACACCTCTGTCTAATTTCAAAATATTTCCATCACCCCCAAAGAGACTCTGCCCATGCCCATTATCAGTCACTCCTTTTCCTTTCCTCAGACCCTGGCAACCTCTAACCTGCTTTCTGTGTCTGTGGATTTACCCACTCTTATGTCTGGCTTCTTTTGCTCAGCATGATGTTTTCAAAATTCATCCACTTGTAGCATGTTAGTACTTCATTCATTCATTTATTTATTTAGAGACAGGGTCTTGCTCTGTCGCCCAGGCTGGAGTGCATTACAGATCATGGTTTACTGCAGCCTCCAATTCCTAGGCTCAAGGGATCCTCCTAACTCAGCCTCCCTCACTTTAACTTTTTTTTTTTTTTTTTTTTTCCCCCGAGACGGAGTTTCGCTCTTGTTACCCAGGCTGGAGTGCAATGGCGCAATCTCGGCTCACCGCAACCTCCGCCTCCTGGGTTCAGGCAATTCTCCTGCCTCAGCCTCCTGAATAGCTGGGATTACAGGCACGCACCACCATGCCCAGCTAATTTTTTTTTGTATTTTTAGTAGAGACGGGGTTTCACCATGTTGACCAGGATGGTCTCGATCTCTTGACCTCGTGATCCACCCGCCTCGGCCTCCCAAAGTGCTGGGATTACAGGCTTGAGCCACCGCGCCCGGCCCACTTTAACTTTTTTGTAGAGACGGGTTCTTGTTGTGATGCTCAGGCTGGTCTCAAACTCCTAGTCTCAAGAGATCCTCCCACTTTGGCTGCCGAGAGTACTGGGATTACAGGCATGGGCCACTGCTCCTGGCCTTCATTTATTTTTAAGGCTGAATCATATTCCATTGTATGGATATACCACATCTATTCATGTCAATGCACATTTGGGTTGCTTCCACCTTTGGCAGTTGTGAATAATGCTGCTATAACCACTGATGTACAAATATTTGTTTGAATATCTGTTTTTCTTTCCTTTGGGTATAGACTTAGGAGTGCTGGGTCCTATGGTAACTGTTTAACTTTCTGGAGAACCAGCTTTGTTCATTCTTGCTGAGCACTGGGCCGGGTGGTCACCTTTCCTCAGCCATGCTTGACCTCCCCCTCTTTGTGTCTCAGTCAGGAGGTGGTTATTTTGTCTTGTTTTCAGCACCAGCATTCCCAAGCCCTGCATCCCTGGGCTGTTCTTGCTGAGGCCTTCTGGTCATTCGTCTGTTGCTTTCTTGTTCAGTAGCACAGCCATTCTAGAGAGTGTTTTGTTTCTTTACCTTAAGCACTTCCTAGCCTGTTTAGAGTCACTGTGGTCCTAAAGTCCCCTCCTGGGTATGATACACACTGGATTTGTTAGTCTATTCTAATGTCTCCCAGCCCACAACTTCCAAACCCACCCCAGATTTCCCATTCAAGGACTAAACAATAAACAAACCTTCCTCTACTCTTCTAGTTTTATACACACACACACCTCTCCGCTGCCCTGTCGGTTGCCAAGTTCTTCGTGCTGTCTCCTGGGCTTACTAGTACCTTGGCAGTGCCCCACGGTTGCCCCTGAAGAGAGATTGTTTTTCTCTCTTTCCATTCAATGCTGTTTCTGAAGCCAGCCTTGTCATTGGCTCTCCCTACCGCTGAGAGGTGATTTTGAGTGAGATGCTATCCCTCCCCAGTTACCTTTCCACCGTGTCCACCCAAGTCCGGTTGTCACCCAGAGCCCAGACACTTCGGGCTGCATCTGACTGAGGGGCCACTGTGTGCTGGCTTTGGATGCTCCAGACCCACTACCATGCACTAGAATTATGCCCTCTGGATCATGGTTAATTTAAATAACTCCGTCTGTGGCCCCATCTCTAGTTGACTTCCTGATTTTGTTTTGTTTTGATTCCTATGTTTGTCCACACCCACATTGCTAGCTTTTTCTATTAGCTTCAGGAGGCCAGGGTCCCTGCACGTGTAAGATAATGGTCTTGGGGCAGGAGGGACAGGCACCACAGAAGGAAGAAAAGTTCCAGATTGGAATGACAAGCTGAGGTAAGGCGATATGTGGGGTTACACTAGCTGGTGGACGACCTGGAAAATGAAGATGGAGGAATTTACTTAGGTAAAGCAGCATTTATAACTTTGTCTTTTTGGATGTTCCCATGTCTGTGTTTAAGAGGCTCCTCCCAGCATGCTGGGCAGCCAGGGGTTTTTACCATGGGTCAGAGAGCACCATTCTAGTGCATGGTAGAGGGCTGGGAGCATCCAAAGCCAGCAGGCTGTGGCCTCACAATTTCCATTGCCCGACCCTGGAAAGAATCTCCATGATGGTGTCAGCTGAACAGTAAAATTGGGAAATCCAATGATGAATGGCAAGTTGGTGGATCTGGGGACAGGACAGTGGAGCTTTGGCATAAAGAGAGGACACAAAATCTAGTGGGGTATTCTAGAGCAGAGCCCAGAGCCCTTCACAATGTATAATTTGAGATGAGAGTTTTGGGAGAGGACAGATGGGCGTTTAAGGATTGATGCTGTCCCTTCAGGAAGTTAGAGCAGGTGAGGTGGTGGAATCATGGAAGTTGTCTACCTTGCTGTGGTCACTGTTACCTTTGTGCATTTAATTTAGGGCAGTCAAAAACTTAAGATTCATGCAGGTAGCTTTGAATGGAGCAGATATTAGTGCAAACACATACTCTGTGTGAGGTATGAGGACTGTGGTACAAGGGGAGAGCCCGCGTTCTCACTATCTAGAACAGTGCTAGCCCGTGGTAGGCACTCAAAAAAAAAAATTTGCTAAGTGAATGAATGAAGGTGTGGTCACTTTATTGGCTCCAGCCCTTTCTTTCCATTTGGTTAAAGGCCCTGTTTTGCCTCATTTGTCCTACTTTTCAAGAGAAATAAGACGTTGGAAGTTCTACATGAAATTTCCCAAGTTTTAAATGTTGCCTCAAATTTATCTAAAGTACAATGAGCTAAAGTCAGGAGGTAGTCATTTTATTTTTGTTTTCAGCACCGGCATTTCCAAACCCTGCATCCCTGGGCTGTTCCTGCCGAGGCCTGCTGGCCATTCTCCTGTTGCTCTCTTGTTTGGTAGAACAGCATCCTCTGAAGTTAGGAATTTGCAGCTTCTAACTTAAGGCTTTCATCTCCAGCAGATGCACAAACTTTTAGGAAAAGCAACTTTTCTTTTTTTTTAATTTTTAATTGTTTTTTAAGAATTGGGGTCTTGCTCTGTCACCCAGGCTGGAGTGCAGTGGAGCAATCATAGCTCACTGCAGCCTCAAACTTCTGGGCTCAAGTGATCCTCCCAATTTGGCCTCCTAAAGTGCTGAGATTACAGGCATGAGCCACATGCCCAGCCAGAAGCAACTCTTTAAAATGTTATCTCTCACTTATCAACCTGAACAAAGGTTCTGAAAGCAGGTTTCAAGAGGAGATTCATGAGAGGATCAAATCTAAGGTGGTGGGAGCCGGGATAACTGAGCTTTGTTCTTTTTTTGAGACAGGGTCTCACTCTGTTGTGCAGGCTGGAGTGCAGTGGCATGAACATAGTTCACAGAAGCCTCAAACTCCTGGTCTCAAGTGATCTTCCTGCCTCAGCCTTCCAAGTAGCTGGGACAACAGGTGTGCTCCAGTGGCAGGTGGGGGGAGCCAGGATAACTGAGCTGAGCAGAATGACTGTAGTGGACAGAACCTTGGCTTTATATTATGGACATTCAGCTGGTACACACCTTTCAGTCATCCCACTTACGCTGAAATACTGAAATATTTCTATATTGGGAGGTAAATAGCTACTTCCCTGAATCTCCTGGGTGCCCCAGCCTGGGACCCCCGCAGCCTTCACACTATCCAGCAACGAATGGGGCCATGCCTGGCTGTAGTGGGTCTCGAGGACCCTGCTCCAAGGCCAGGGCAGGCATCCATTCTCAATGGGCCATGCCTGTATTATGGTGCTGGTTAAGCATTTTGAACTCACTCCTGGATAAATCTAACTTTGAATCCTGGCTCCACTTCTTACTTGGCTGAGTATTTAATGACAAATTATTTAATCAATCTCTTTCAGCTTATTTTCCTCCTCCATAAAAGAAGGTCCTTCCTCCATAAAAGAGGAATACTACTACTACTAGTAAGTAGTACTTACTTAGAAAAGTAAGTTGTGTAACTGAGATAAGGCTACTGTTATTATTTTCTATGCTGGAAAACAGCATCCTTTGTACCTTGTCTTTATACAAAGGCTTGGAGAAATAGGGATCAGATTAGCCAGATGTGGTAGCACACACCTGTTGTCCCAGCTACTTGGGAGGCTGAGGCGGGATGATCACTTTGGTCAGGAGTTTGAGGCTGCAGTGAACTACGTTCATGCCACTGCCCTCCGGCCTGCACAATAGAGTGAGACCCTGTCTCAAAAAAAGAACAAGAAAAAAAGAAATAGGGGTCAGAGAACGGGAGGCTGGGGATTGCACAGTGACATGACCCACTGGGTCCCAAAAGTTGATCGCACCCAGTTGTATACTCACCTAGGGAGGTTGTTAAATACAGATGCCTCTACATTTAGAATTAGAAATTCTAGGCTGGGTGTGGTGGCTCATGCCTGTAGTCCCAGCACTTTGGGAGGCGGAGGCGGGCAGATTACCTGAGATCAGGAGTTCAAGACCAGCCTGGCCAACATGGTGAAACCCCGTTTCTACAAAAAATACAAAAAATTAGCTGGGCGTGGTGGTGCGCACCTGTAATTCCAGCTACTTGGGAGGCTGAGGCAGGAGAATCACGTGAACCTGAGAGGTGGAGGTTGCAGTGAGCTGAGATCGTGTCATTGCACTCCAGTTTGGGCAACAAGATCAAAACTCTGTCTCAAAAAACAAACAAGCAAAAGCCCCAAAATTCTAATTCAGTAGGTCTGGGTGGAGTCCAGGAATCACTGTTTCTACCAAGTGCCCTGCGATGATCCTGATTAAGAGCTGAATCTGGGAACCATGCTGTTCTCTTGTCGGTCACCTCTGCCTCTGCTTCACACAGAACCGGACCGCTGCAGCTGGTGCTCTACTTAACGGCAGGCACTAGTCCACCTGGGTGACTTGATGGAGTCATGTGAATCCGGGAGTGGGCCTGGGCCAGCTGGAGCAGGGCTTTCCCCTCGCCCTTTGCTGCTACCTCTGTCACAGACCTCGTCCCATCTCCTAGGTGGGTTCTAGGCCTCCGCTCAGGCTGGGAGCACAGGACAGGGGAGAACAAGCCTGAGCCTCTTGCTGGACTTCAGGATAAACCAGACACACAGAATGAGGATTGGGTTGCCTTCCCAGGAGCTGGAGATCCGAGCTAGGCAGATTAACTTGTTTATGAGGGTTTTCTCCATTGCATCCCCCCAGGGCATGGACCCAGTTGGCTGACCTTGTGCGGACCACCTGACAGAGCTTCCTGTGCCCCAGCATCCTCCAGCCCTCGGCGTCAGGTGCTCTGACTTGCAGCAACTGTGTAGTTAAGCACCTCTTCTGCCTGGCAGCTGCGCTCATTGCCTCCTAATTATACACTCGGGGGCCTCCCTGGGAGGTAAAACATTATATCACAGCCTTAGGGGTCTGCTCCCAGTGTTGCATTAGTTCCAAATGATGAGGACAGGGAAGAGGTGTAGGGACACAGGGCTGAGAGAGATGTTAAGAGACAGATGCAGAGGGATTGGAAAGAGAAAGGAAAAACAAGCAGGAGTGAAAGATGAAATGTTAGAGAAAGACATAAAGCAAGGGAAGTTAAAATCTGGAAGGCAGTGAGTGGTGTTCTTAGCACAGATTTGCAGAGGGTAGTAACCCTTGCTGTTATTTCAGGAGGAGTGACATATGTGAGCACTTTTTCCTTTTGGTTTAAACAAGTTCTTTTATTTTGTCTTTTTGAGAGGGGTGTCTCACTGTCACCCAAGCTGGAGTGCAGTAGTGTGAGCATAGCTCAGTGTAATCTCTTAATTCCTGGGCTCAAGTGATCCTCCCACCTCAGCCTCCAGAGTAGCCAGGACTACAGGCGTGAGCCACTCACTACTCCCACTAATTTTTTTGTGTTTATTTTTTGTAGAGATAGGTTCTTGCTGTGTTGTCTAGGCTGGTCTTGAACTGCGAGGCTCAAGCCATTCCCCTGCCTTGGCCTCCCAGAGTACTGGGATTACAGGTGTGAGCCACTGTGCCCTCTAAACAAGTTGTTGAGTAGGACCTAGTAGCTAGACAAGATGCGATAGTAGGAGGTGTTGGGTTTGCAGCCACTGGCTGATGTTTTCTACCGTGTTTCCCTGCAAGGAGATCCTGGGGATGTGGGCGTGTGTGCAGTGACTCACATGACCACAGCCTCGCTGGTTCACAGCCTCAGCCTTACATACCTATTCTCTCACCGACACACCTGTCAGCTCAGTGACCACGCCTCGTGATCTCGACTCTGTGCTCCACCCACTAGGCCGTGGCTGCCACTCACACAGCCTCTTGTTCACTCCGTTGACAGCCACCTCCCTTCTCAAAGCACAAGTTCCCTGGGAGCTGTGACTTCTCTGCAGATCAGTTGTCAAATCCTCCACAGGCTCTTGCACAAAGCATTTTTCCTATCTGTGTCTCAGATTTCTGACCTGTAAAATGAACCTCAGGCTCACTGCTCACGCCTCCTTGCTGTGTGGAGCAGTGAATTAACGTCTTTAAGGAACTTGTTGCTTGTGGGATGAAAGATGCCAAAGTCAGCTTTGCTCCGCCACCCCCACCTGCACTCCTAACAGCCAAGCCCTGCTCTTCCTTTCTTACTGTTTACCATACAAATCAGCCCTTGATGACCAGAGCAAGTCATTTAAGGTCTGTGAACCTGGGTGGACCTCAGTTCCCCAATCCACTGATCTCTGAACAGCCTCCTCTTACTCACCTGGCAGCATTCGACACTGTTGACCACCCATTGCCTCTTCTTAAAAGTGTAAATAACACATGCTCATTGCTTAAGAAGAAAGAAAGAAAAGTGAAGGCTGAGGCCGGAGGGTCACTTCAGCCTGGGAAGTCTAGGCTGCAGTGAACCGAGATTGCGGCACTGCACTCCAGCCTGGGTAACAATGAGACCCTGTCTATAAAAAAAAAGCAAACAGAAGCCCACAGTTATTTCAAAAGAAAAAATGAAATCCAACACTATATACTGGAATTTAAGTAAAATGTAAAAACCACTGGTCCTCTCACCTCCTCTATACAATCATGAAATGTGTCTCATATCCAGCTTCCTGGCCAGGCGCGCTGGCTCACACCCGTAACCCCAGCACTCTGGGAGGCTGAGGTGGGTGGATCGCGAGGTCAGGAGATAAAGACCATCCTGGCTAACACGGCAAAACCCCATCTATACTAAAAATACAAAAAAAAATTAGCCAGGCCTGGTGGCTGCACCTATAGTCCCAGCTATGCTGGAGGCTGAGGCAGGAGAACTGCTTGAACCCGGGAGGCAGAGGTTGTGAGCTGAGATCGCACCACTGCACTCCAGCCTGGGCGACTTAGCCAGACTCCATCTCAAAAAAAAGAAAGAAGGGCTGGGCGCGGTGGCTCAAGCCTGTAATCCCAGCACTTTGGGAGGCCGAGGCGGGTGGATCACGAGGTCAAGAGATCGAGACCATCCTGGTCAACAT